AAGTTGTTGGAATCTATTTTCGAACGGGAGCAGTCGTTATTGGATCCCATGACCCTGGATGCGTCGGTATTGGTTTCCACGACCCGAGTGGCTCGATATTGGATCCCCTGACCTCGGACTCGTGGACAACCGTGTCTGGTGAACCCGGTGTTATCGATATCGAGTCTCGTATGGGTCAAGTCTTTGATGCTTATTTGTGCAATTGAGAACTTCTGATAACAGCTCTGTAATCAACCATTTTATATACTCATTCACATATCGTCCATCACTAAAGATGACACCCTTATTAAGCAAGTCTAATTTCTTTGTTCGTTGAAAGAAATATTTGCTACTAAAACAATGCGTATATTTTATTAAAGTACGCTTTAAAATTTTGAAAAATGATTTACTAAGTTGGGTACATTTGAATGTTCTGAAAAAATATTTCATTTTATTCAAGCTTTAAATATTTTTATAAAGTAGGTGCATTTGTTGAAGTCTCTTGTAGAAATTCTTCTAAAGTTTCATGAAGTATAATTTTCGTAAAAATACATTTTAACTACACTCGTTTTACCCATATATAAAACTCTGCTGTTAATAATTTCCTAAAGATGCCAGAAGTAGTTTAAATGATTAATTGAAACGATCGTTAGAGGGACAATAATGGCGTCGATTCAGCATTTTCACGGCGGAGTCATGTTCTCAAATAAAAATCGATTTCTCCCGATTGAGATAGGAGAGCAGCTTTGTCATCGATGGTCGAACACGATACACAATCCTTATACGGATGAAACGGCACGAAATTCTCTCGCCATCTCCTCGAGTCGTGTCGTAGACGCGAGAATCACATCGTCGGATTTCATGGAAACGGCACGAATCCATTTAATATATCTGCCGAGACGCCTGCAACACGCGAGGATCGTTCGACGCGTGCGAAAAATCTTGGTGAAAATCGACTTTCGACAGGCACCGTATCAGTTTGCGGGACTCCCTCGACGATTTCATAGCTACTCAAATATACGAGCGTGGAAATGCTCAAAATTCAAAGAACATGAAAAGGAACTGGCTACCTTATTCAATCGAAAATGCGATAAACTCTACTGCGTGAAAGAATTAATAATTCCGAAGAGTGAACTACTTTAGACCGTCCATTTTATTGATTATAAAATATTACATGCTTTACATACAACATATATAATGAGATATTAATTAAACTGTCTGTTTAATTGTTCATATTTTAACGTGACATTTAAAAGAATACTGTAAAATTAAGAGTCTTTGAAGAATATGAACATTGCATACGCCATTTTGTGTTCGTCTATACGGTCCACCATTTTGTTGTTCAAAAAACATTATGTACTTTGTGTCGCTTTAAGCCAACATACTTAATTGAATATTAATTAAACTATCTGTTTAATTCTTCATATTTTAAAGTAACATTTAAAAGAATACTATGAAATTAAGATTCATCTAAGAATATGAACATTGCGTACGCCATTTTGTGTTCGTCTATACGGTCCACCATTTTGTTGTCTACAAAACATTACGTACTTAATGTCGCTTTATTCCAATATACTTAAATAGATATTAATTAAACTATCTGCTTAAAATTTTACGTTAGAAAGTGACATTTAAAAGAGTACTTTCAAATTAATAATTCATCGAGTATGAATTTTGCGGACGCCATTTTGTGTTCATCTGCAGCGTCCGCCATCTTGATTTCAAAACATTGTATATAGAATCTAGTGTTACTTCTGTATGCATTAATTAAACTATCTCCTTAAACTTTCATGTTAGAAAATATTTAAAATTTATTATAAAAAAAATGTGAAGTATAATATTAAACATAAATTATCGTCAATATTTCATCTTAATATTAAAATAATTTTTAATAATTTTTCTATAGAGCCTTGACTGTTTACATCAACCAAAATACTCGAGACAAAATAACCATATAATACAACAGACCTAACCATACAATGTAACAATGTAACGTAACCTACTTCAACTAAGAATGATTGATACGTTCCCGAATTCTATAGAAATCGATCAGCATATTTGCGAGGCAGATTAAATTTCCAAATTAGTTAGCCAGAGCAACAATACCAGTATTCATCCTTAAAGAGGCTCATGAAACCTGATCCATTAACGCAATTAAACCACAAATCTCGTTAGATATTGTAGAGTATATAATGTGTCAGCCTCGTGTTAAATCAACAATGGGAAAATGTTTAGTGTAAGATCAAAGCAACAGGGATATTCACGTATCTCGTTACTAACCCTCCGGTTGAAAATAATATACTATTCCTGGCTGGATTTCTCTGACAGGAAACGTCAGAAGGATCAAATTGCGGGCTTCGTATTTTTCAGATCTAGTAACAGATATACCCGGTTAGAAATTCTAATCCGAACGAAAGGTGAACGTAACCGAATCGCAAAGAGTGAATATGTTGACACTGGTACTGTGGATTGTAGAAATATACTTTTATAAGGGTGGAATTGGGAAGGGTGGGAAATTTGAAAATTAGAAATGGGGAAGTTTAGGAATAGGAAAATTACAAAATTAGAAACGAAGAAATTTAGGAATAGGAGAATTACAAAAATAGAAGTGGAGAAATTTGTAAATAAGAAAATTACAAAATTAAAAATGAAGAAATTTATAAATAAAAAATTACAAAATTAGAAATGGAAAAATTTATAAACAAGAAAATTACAAAATTAAAAATGGAGAAATTTATAAACAAGAAAATTACAAAATTGAAAATGGAGAAATTTATAAATGAAAAATGAAAAAATTTAAAAGTAAGAAAATTGAAATATTGCAAATGGAAAAATATATAAATAAGAAAATTACAATATTTCAAATGAAAAAATAAAAATAAAATAATATTACAAACTTGCAAATGAAAAAATAAAAATAAAATAATATTACAAAATTGCAAATGAAAAAATTTACAATGAAAAAAATAATAAACTTGAAAATTTGCAAAAATAAAAAACTGAAAAATTTGAAAGATTATCAATTCTACGTTTATGATCTGATTGCGTCCGGCGTTCATATTTCAGTCGAAATCGACTTGTTATCTTTCTAGAAGCAACTCTGTGGCAACCCGTTCTCCAGGGAATCGATCGATGGACAAACGAACGACGTTCACTGCTTTCTATACAGATTTAACGCCGGGTATTTACATTTAGAAGAGCTGTTCTTTGCTAATCGGATCTGGAAAATGGTACTTGCTGTTGGGATTCGGGGTTGTCTCGAATCAACGATCGCCATTTAACGACCTATTTTGACTCTCCATGCACTTCTGCAATTTTCAGAAGCAATACCCGATTCTCATCGTTTGTGGTACTTCTGGAATATAAATACTTCAAAATGATACTTTGTAATTACTTTTGCAAAGCATTGGGTTAGGAGAGTTGCTTGTGAAATGGACCATGTAACGGGAGGTTCCCAAATTCAATACTTTGTATTTATTACTTTAATACTTTGTTTTTATAGATTATCAATTTTTTAGTTTAAAAAATTCTAAGTTTTTGAATTCTAGTTTTAGGGTTTCAAATTTTCAAATTTGCAATTTTCCAAATTCTTAAATGCTCAAATTCTGAAATCTCCAAATTCTTACTTTCCCAATTTGCTAAACCCCCAAATTCTCGATTTTCCAATTCTCTAAACTCCCAAATTCTCAATTTCCCAATTTGCTAAATTTTCCAAATTCCCTAAATCCCCAAATTTCCACCTCCAAAATTTCAAAATTCCAAATTCTCTAAATCTCCAAATTCTCACTTCCCCAATTCCCTAAATCCCCAAATTCTCAATCTTCCAAATTCCCTAAATCCCCAAATTCCCTAAAGCCCCAAATTCTCCATTTTCCAAATCCCCAAATCCCCAAATTTCCGCCCTCCAAAATTTCAAAATTCCAAATCCTCTAAATCCCCAAATTCTCACTTTCCCAATTCCCTAAATCCCCAAATTTTCAATTTGCCAATTCCCTAAATTCCCAAATTCTCAATCTTCCAAATTCCCTAAAGCCCCAAATTCTCCATTTTCCAATTCCCTAAATCCCCAAATTTCCACCTCCAAAATTTCAAAATTCCAAATTCCCCAAATCCCCAAATTCTCACTTCCCCAATTTCCTAACTCCCCAAATTCCCACCCCCCAAATTTCCAAACCCCCAACCTCAAAATTCCCTCCACTCTCTACATTCCCCACAACCAAAAATACTAATACGAAAATATATCCACGCTAACTCTGTCACATTAATCCGCACGCGCATTCATATTTATACCGATTAAAAACCGACAGGTAGTAGAATCTAACAATTTATTTTCGGAATCGAATCGACAGGAGTTCGACATATTTGTAACTGCGCGATATTACTATAAAGATTTTAAAACCTGTTTCGTGACTATAATTATGATTGATCGACAGCAAGCGGACATTTCAGACCAACAGCAATCCCGAATTTAATATGATAAATTCTGTCATGAATTCCTATTGTAATCACTTTAAAAATCGATCTTCCGTCCGAGCCGCGTTCACCTAACTGCGTCGACCTAACCTAAATTCGAATGTACAAAATGTCAGCTGTTAAGATAATTCAAATGAGTACACAACACGCAAATATTCTGGGATGCTAATATATGCTCCTTTAATTAACTAAATTTTATCTCTTAATTATCTAAATTTACTCTTTCTATTAACTAAATTTAATCTTGCTGTTAACTAATTTTAATCTTTGCGTTAACGAAATTTAATCTGATAGTTTATTCAATTTTATCTTTGAATTAACGAAATTTAATCTGATAGTTGACTAAATTTTATCTTTGAATTAACGAAATTTAATCTTACAGTTAACTAAATTTAATCTTAACGAAATGTAATCTTTCAATGAACTGAATTAATCTTTTAATTAACTAAAATCTTGTGTTCATTTACATAATTTAAATGAACAAGAGCGTCACAGACAAAAATATTTTTAAATATGACCACTGAGATTTTTATACGTGTATTTTGCAGCTTCTGGCGGGCAACAATAATCCATACTCCGAGAAGGAGCAAAGTTTCGACCCAGCTATTGTGGCGACCAAAGTCCGTTTCATCCCTTACACTTCCCATATGCGCATGGTGTGCATACGGGTGGAGCTTTATGGGTGTCCATGGACCGGTGAGTGAAATTTATAGAAACTCTTTCCGTATCTCTCTCTGCTCTTGTTTCGCAACAATGCATCCACTAAGTATTGAAAAGAACGAAGTTCCTCGGTTTCGAGCATTCTTATCACGCTGTCGCTGTTTTCCATTTTATCGGATCGGAGAGCTTCTTACGCCAGAGGAAACGTGCGATCGAGATCATATTTCTCTCTGTATTACAACCTGCATTTTAAATATTCGTGGACGATATAGGAATATTTTGTTACAATATGAAGGTTACATTTTTGGGATAACTTAAACAAATTCAAGTTCTGAAAATTCTGTAGGAGACTCTGATAAATTCGGTCGAAATTTGATTAAATTATGTGGTATAATTCAGTCAATATAATAATTGTACTTTTTTCCTGTAATATTCATATGTTGTCTCAATGTAACAATTTTCACACGTGTTACATGAACATCTGTGAAATCATGGAGACCTTCGATATTTGTAGGTTATGTTCATTAAATATGTAGCAGCCATATGTAGATACAATAAGTACATCTAGGTACAAGTTCAATATATGTATGTACAATAATAATCACATAAAAAAATATATCACAAAATTTCACATTTTTCATATAAATGAGTCTAACATTCTTCCATTGCTAATTCGTCATAATAATGAAAAGTAATGTACCTACATAAAAGCGTAAAATTGTAGCTGCATAATGAATAAAATTTTTTTATTTCTCCTCACCCCATGTCACATTTTTAAAATAAAAATTTAATAGAGCTTCAAACACATCCACATATAATTTTCAGTAACTTTGAAAATTATGAAAAATTTAACTTGAATATACCACATATGGCTATATAATATACCATATACATTTTATAAATTTACTGAAAAAAAATTAATTAATTTGGTGACCAAATAAAAATATGATCAATTTGATAACTCGAATGACATCGAAAAAACAGGGGTTGCGTAGTAATCCAGAAAGAGTCATGTAATACGATACGAGAAAACGGTGTATTCGATAATGGAAAACAAACATCGCCGGTGTAAATATTTCTTACGAAGGGTGTAGCAATCACGAACAGCATCGTTGCACCCTGTACAACGGTGTATCCATACTTATGGAACCGAGAGCAACAACGACACTCGAGACCTGTCGGGTGAACCCTTTCGAGTTGAGATTAAGGCAAACACACCTGTACACCGTATTTCGATCGGTCTCGTAAATCTACCCTGAAGCGGACTTCCAACAGATGAGGATGGACGTTTAATCAAATAATTGATTAATTCTATTCTAGGGTGGTGAATTGATGTGTGAATATATTTAGGGATGAATTGTGTAAATAGGGTTCAGAAATAATTTAGACTTCCAGGTGATCTTGTTAGATTTACTCATTTTTATATTTTTGTTCATGTGATCAAATTTTTAGATTTCTTTAATATTTAGGTAAGGTAAGAGGTCTTGAAATTCTTAGATAATTAAATTGTCAGTCTTCTTAATTTTTGAGTAGCCAGATTTTTGTTCAAATTGTCTAGTTGATCATTTTGAAATGTCCAGTTCCATTCACATATTTGTTCGACCATACAATTGATCATAAAAAATGTACCGCAGAATAAATTTTCAAATATTTTAGTCATAAAACCCATTCTCAAATTTTTAGATTTCTCTAATATTTAGATAAAATAAGAATTCTTGAAATTCTTAGATAATTAAATTGTCAGTCTTCTTAATTTTTGACTAGCCAGATTTTTGTTGATCAAATTGTCTAGTTGATCATTTTGAAATGTCCAGTTCCATTCACATATTTGTTCGACCATACAATTGATCATAAAAAATGTACCGCAGAATAAATTTTCAAATATTTTAGTCATAAAACCCATTCTTCCGCCCCATTTTCCTACAAATACTTGAGTTAATGAACCCCGGCGCAACAATGTACTCGCAATTCAAGAGCACTAATTAAAACTATGAAATTAAAAAAATCCCTCATTACTTTCGTATCAAACCATTTTCCATATTTCGCAGGGTAGTTGAAATTACAGCAATTGCAGCCAGCACGGGACAGTTAGTTCGGCTGCATATTTCTTGCCAGGTTTTTTTTTCATGCAAGCTAGCCCTTCGTGCGAATATACCCCATGATAAATATAAATACGGTGTTTTTGCGCCGTTAAAAATTTATCGCTTTGCAGCGTTATCGGAAGAGAAAAGGGGGTGGTTCGCGACCGGAAACGGAAGGGGTACGCCGTTTTTGCTCGACACCGGCGCAAACTGTATCACGAATTTAATGGTATCGAGCATTTAATCTCGTCCGCAATATTCGAGACTATAAATTCGATATTCGTTGTTCGACGAAGCATTAAGGAGAAGTATTTTTCACGAGAAAGCGTCGGTGAGCCGGTATCGCGTCCGTTCTCATCGACGTCTGTCAATTTCCGCGTGGCGATACTTCCTGTCTCGAAATAAATCATTTTTCCGTGGGTCGCCGGCGAGGAAACGACGGACTTTCATCGAATATCATTTTGACGTAGATGAAGATGTAGAAGGATTAAATTACGACACGTTTCCTGCACTATTTTATTCGGACACCCTCTTTTGCGGATAGCTAACATTTTTTTAAACTGTTACGAAATTTGGAAATTGGGAAGTATTTTCAGTTTTGCACAGTGTGTTTGTTTTTAGTGGAGAACTATTGGAAAATGAAATGAAACGTGGATATCTTTCGTTCGAAACTTTTAGTTGGATTCGTTTAACACTAAAACTACCAAACTGATCAAATGGCCGCTCCATAAGTGGCCGCTTCATTAGTACAAGTTACACATTTTGTCAAAGTACATTCCTTGAAATCAGCATTGATTTTTATCAAGATAAAGAATAAATGTGTGTATTAATTTATGTTTCGCTTCAGATATTTATATTTATCTAACGTTCCAAATTATCAAATCTTTTAAAGTCCATAATTGAAAATTTAAGAGATCTGCAATCCAGCAGCTCAAATATTTCAAAATTAATATTTCCTTACATCTAAATTTCTAAACATAAATACACGTACCACAAAATGTAAAAACCCGAGAAACCCGTAAGTCAAAATACAATAACCACCCCAAATTCCTCCACATTCCTCCGTGCCGTATCCATCACCGATACACCCCAATTTTCCCCGGCGGCGCTCGTCATAAATAAAAGAATCACGCCGGAGTAGCGAATAATCCGGATAATGGTATGCCGTGATAAAAGTTTGAAACTTCGCAGTTGTTCGAGATACGCGATTTAACCGGTGCAATCTTATCACGTATAAGTCGAGAATGAAACGTCCATCTTGTCAGAGCGTAGCGGAGCACGATGATGCATAGCACAGGGGAAACGTGTACCACGGTGAAACCGTAACTCTTTTCTTTGTCTGTATTGCAGAGGGCCTGGTGTCGTATTCCATGCCCCAAGGAATTAAAAGGGGCTCGGAGGTTGACCTTTCCGACAGGACATACGACGGCAAGGAGGAAGGAGGTTACCTCTCTGGAGGACTCGGTCAACTTGTCGACGGCCAAAGGGGTCCTGACAACTTCAGATTGGACGTCAGTGGAAACGGGAAAGGTGAGCTATTACTTCAGAACGTTGCTATATCGACACCTTAGATATCTTAGTTAACTTTGGTTTTACTAAATCATTTTAGTAGCATGTGAGTTAAAATCAAACATGGGTATGCAGGATAAATTTCATTAATTCGGGGGTAGTTTATTTTACGAAATACACGTAGGATAAATTCTCCTGAATTTTTTTAATGTTGGGTAATTTTTTATTTTACCCATTCATGTTCTCAGGAATATTTAGTGAAGTTCGATACGAATTTTAAATTTAAAAAATTCTTGACCTCCCTGATGTGATATGTTGATGCACCACCTTGTTGGAAGATCATACTCCTAGCAGCTAACATACTTACATTTCAACAAAAAAAATTGTATTAACTATGCGTTTAGTTGAACAAGCTTTACAGTTGATTTGCTCAGAAATGTTATCAAAAAATGTAATATAACATAATCATAAAATGATAATATAAAAATATTCATTTTTTAACGTAGAAGCACCCCTTGTCCTGCGATATTATCCACCCAGTAACTTTGTACATTCAGTTAAAAATTCCTGTTTAAAAACATTGTATTAAACCGAATGATCTTCCAAGTGCAGAAGGTACATCCACTTTCAGTCCCATTTTTCGAAAGAAGTATTTCCGAATTAAAGATTTCCGTGTATTTTTCCGTGTCCACATATAATGGTCGTAAACGAAGCAATACCCGACTTATTATTTCGTTCCAGCTGCGCTTCCTCTTTTCTCCGTGAATTTCCGTGGAAGATTCGATTTGACGGGGTCGAACTAATCCGTGAGAGAGTAGGAAGCTCTAACGAAGACGGGACACAGTAACCCGTTCGATTGGTATCGTTTGCCTTCTTTTCTCCAAGTGGGAATTCTCATCGAGACTCCGGAGAATGTTATTAAATCTCAATTGTAGATTCGTGGTTTCATTGGCGGAATTTAATTCCAGGTGCCTATCGGATTGCATACGTATTATTGGAAAGGGAATACCGATTCGAATAAAAATTACTTAGCGCCACCTTTTAAAGATATTTCAATGAAAGTATCTTGCAAACGAGCGGGTAGATTTTACCGTGACCAAGAAACAACTGTCTAGGAAATAAAATGTTCATCCCGTCGATTCCAGGTGTGTAGGTCAGTGATAAGAGAATTCCAGGAAGCTGGATGCTCGGACTCTCCCGTAGGCGAATCGTGTTCCCTGGCGTCCTCGAATCTGTTCCAATTTACATTTATATTGAACCACAGGCTAGACTGCAAGCCACACTGCTGTTTACCGGCTCCCTCGATACATTTGTGTCTTTCCATTTACGCCCTGGGACAACCTGCAACTATGTACATTCAGTTTCTTAAACTTTTAAACCCGCAGAGACTGCGTGCGCTCTTTCTTACTTTCGTTTACAATCATGTTGTACTACCTGCAATCGTGTTGGACTGGGCCATTTGTTTCTGTAATGTCTTGCGAATTCTACGACTTAATTGTGAGGAAGATGTCGTAAATATTGATGGAAACACCGATGTGAACATTGCAGTGTATGTAGATTTTGTTGGGAAGCAATGTTTTTGGATGTGAAGGATTTAGGAGGATAATTTTTTGCAAATTTGAGGGTTGAACTATTTCAAGTTTATGAATTAACGAATACACAAATTTATTATTCCCAAATTCTCACATGTTCAATTTGTCAACCATCCAAATTCTCACATCCCCAATTTGTCACCCATCCAAATTCTCATATCCCCAATTTCTCATCTCCTCAAATTCCAAGATTTCCAAATTCTCACATCCCCAATTTCCCACCTCCCCAAATTCCAATATTTCCAAATTCTCACACCCCCAATTTCTCACTTCCCCAAATTCTCACATCCCCAATTTCTCACCTCCCCAAATTCCAAGATTTCCAAATTCTCACATCCCCAATTTCCCACCTCCCCAAATTCCAATATTTCCAAATTCTCACACCCCCAATTTCTCACTTCCCCAAATTCTCACACCCCCAATTTTTCACCTTCCTAAATTTCTAAATTTCCAAATTCTCACATCCCCAATTTCTCACCCCTTAAAATTCCAAAATTCCCAAATTCTCACATTCCCAATTTCTCACCCTTTAAAATTCCAAAATTCCCAAACTCTCACATCCCAAATTTTTCACCTCTCCTTTTCCCCACAATTTAAACTTTTCATCCCAATATCTCTAATCTCTCCCTCTAATCTCCCGCCCCTTAACTCCCCATGTATCCTTGTTAGAAACTTTCACTACATCACACCTGAGAACCATTAAAAATAACACAATAATCTCCCAACGTTATAAACAGCATTAAGTCCTGCCGAGGTATGCTATTAGAAAGCCGATGAAACTCTGAGAATGCAGAAGTTGTGAAATCCGTGTAGTATCAATAAACATGATACAATAATTACCACGTAGAACCTTGATCATTCCTAACTACGTAACGAGGAGTCAGTAACGCATCTATCGTATCAAGGAGGCAACCTCGTAATTACTTTTGCAAACAATCCGTCGAGAAAGCTTATTAACAAGAAAGCTAGCAAAGTATCTCGTCGAGATGGAAACTTTGGAAATACCGCGAACTTTATGACGATATTGGAATCAGCTACGTCCCTATACTCTGGCTCATCTGCCAACAATTTGCAACTTATTATCTGGGTTGACCCACTTGCTTGCGGAATCACGGTGACGTGTCTCAAAGACGTTTTAATTATACTCTGCTCGGCTTCTGCTATGGACAAACATATTACAACTAAAAGAATTGCAAAATTTCAAAGATATGAAAATTTATTAATTCACAAATATCAAAATTCCTATTCCTAAATGTAAAAACATTAGTTCCTAAAAACCTAAAAACAACAATTCGTTTAATCAAATTTTCCTCTTTGATCTAAAATCAGCGACACGTCAATATAATCCCGAGAATCGTGCAATATAGTAGAAAGTACGATATATCTACACATATCGGTGGTTATTTTACGGCCCCCTGAATGTTCGGAATTGATGGTAGATAGGGAACGAAGGCGGCGACGGAAACTGGAAACTATTTACTCGAGGGACGATATTAAGGCTGGGGTTTATATGAAAGCGGATAGATCAAGCGATATAATGCCACTATGTATGGGACGCGAACATTGTTGGAAAAGAGGCGATGCCAAGGAAATCCTAGGGAAAGGTTAGATCCCGAACAGATATCGAATCGAAGCGTCGAGCTTTTAATAACCTTTAAGGTGTAGAGTGTCTTCTGTTGGGATACGAAACGAAGCCACCCTGTCTCGGCACCCTCGACACCCTCGTTTTTCTTTTCTCCGACCCTGGCTTGTTTTTACCCCTTCCCCGGGGAGTTCGTCGAACAGGAAAGATAAAAGTGTGTTGGATTTATAGCGTGAAAAACAGATCTCTGTTGGACTGTGTATCAAGTTCCTTACGGTCTATGGGGTTGGAGAAATTGAAATATAAATTGAGAATCATTAGGGTGCACTGAGGGTGACTTTGTTTCGAGCTGATTGAGACAGTGTCTCAATTATTTTTGTTATTTTGCATTGTTATTTTTATGAGGGATGTTTATGGGGTTGGTACTCTTTGTCTTCTTGTGGTAGTCTTATTTTTCAATTTTTTATTTTGTTGGTGATGGTGCATTATATTATTTTGGTTATGTTAACGTGATATGGATATACATACATATGTGATGACATGTGTGATGATATCATATGTATATGATATGTATGTGTATACATATGTGATGATATGTGTATGTATACATATGTGATGATATGTGTGATGATATCATATGTATATGATATGTATGTGTATACATATGTGATGACATGTGTGATGATATCATACGTATATGATATATATGTGTATGCATATTTGATGATATGTGTGATGATATCATATGTGTATGATATGTATGTGTATGCATATGTGATGATATGTGTGATGATATCATATGTATATGATATGTATGTGTATACATATGTGATGACATGTGTGATGATATCATACGTATATGATATGTATGTGTATACATATGTGTACATTGGTATATACATGTACGTATGTATACATGAGTTGTATGTATACATACATGTATACGTATAGTCTCTATAAGAGACTATACATATTGAGACTCAATCTGAGGTTAAATTTTGAAGTCTAATTTTGGGAATCAATTTTGAGACCAAATGTTGAAACTAATATTTGAGATGAAATTCTGAGATCGAGTTTGAGATCATATATTGAACCTAATTTTTTTAATCAAATTTTCAGAGTAGCCTTTGAAATTTTGTCTGAGCTTCAAGGTCAGTTGAATATCAACTTATCAAATCCTCCTGTCAGCTACATTGTGATGAAAAATAAACATATATTATCCCTGAAGAAACGTAAAATTGCAGTCAGAAGTAAAAAACACTGGGTAGCGAAATTTTTTAATTCTTGCAGTTAAAATGAGAATCGAAAAACGACACGTGGTCATGCAGCCAGCAGCAGATTCGATAAAAATCGAATCCACAGTTAATTCGAGTTTAACAACATTCGCGATCTGTTCGCGTATAGATCGAACGATTCGATGTTTTCCTATCCTCTTTGTTTTTTCCCTCCCCGCTGTGTGTGTGTGCTTTAACAATATGAACGGAACGCGAAACGAGAATATTTCCATTCGCAGCCTAGCGTGTCTGAAAAATGACACGTTGCATCGTTGGATCCGATTACCCGATCGACACCGCGCTCCGACAAACGAGACAATAAAATCTGTAACATAAATAATCCGCGAATCGCGGACGTGACGGGAAATTTGTTTGGCGACCGGGGGTCCTGAACGGCCGTTCGTTCGTATCAAACGAACAAATTGTTTCAACGCGGAACGCATTTGTTGCAAATTGCTGGATGTGCTGTTGAAAAGGCTCGGTCGCGACCACCCCAACCTATTTTCGGTCGAACGGCAGCTGCTGCTTTTTGAATGTTGCCTTAATTAATTGTCAGCTGAATGAGAAATAGCGGGCGTGCCGCGCAATCTGTGACTACATTGAATCGCGGTCTTTGAACGAAAGAAAAGATGTCTCCTGCGATCTTTCCGGTACCGCGGTTTCACGATCATCGTTCATTTCATGCAAATGGCCGGTGTTTCAGCTGACTAATATTTTTCTTTGGTTGTCTCAGCTCAATTCAACTTATTGAGCCCTTGTTCGATTATAACTTGTCACACTCGTGACGCACACTATATAGTTTAAATGTGATAAGCTTCGTATTTTCATTGCAATTTTGAGTTCAATTCTACATCTGTATAATGTGCGAGTGCAATATTTTAAAATACAAGAGATATATACAACATCTTTACAATTTATATCATTTTCCATAATATTTTTTGAATAAAAAAATTTAATAATAGGGTCTGACAGGAAAGTGCCAGGTTTATTAATGCAAGTTCGCGAGTTCAAAACCTTCCGTCATATTATAATTTTTTTTTCACTGCAACTAATTAGAATCCAAATACTTTTAACCTTAAACAGATATAATTAAGCACGCAGAATTTTTCTTCCCCCGAAAGTAATGAAACAGAATTTCCTTTTATGGAGCAGAGATTCCTCCCAAGCAAATAAAGAATTAATTGTTTTGGTAGAATGTAAAAACATCTGTTTTTTAATTACTTGGAGTGAAACGAGGTGGAATACAGTTTAGAACGGTTGGATACAAATTACGCACTTTACGCGTAAATTTCTCTTGTGTTCTGCGAAACTGCGAGCTGTACTTTTGAAAAATTATGCGTCTATGATTGTGCTTTAAATAAAATGATGTTGCTAAGTGATGTATCTTTAATTATTTATTACTTCTTTTTCGTATAATGTAGTTTCAGTGTCAATGTTGTAAAACTTGTCATTATTTTGCATTGTAAAATATTAAAAATATCAATGAGACAAATATATAGAAATCTTCAAACGTAACCTAAGTTCAAAAATGAAATACAAATTTAATTTTCATCTCATAAAATCACCTCAAGTTTCCAATATTTTCAAACGTATCACAATTTGATACAATTTATCCAAAGAAAATAAATAAACTGTACAGATATTTTTGAAATAATTGAACCTTTAAATTGATAGAGAATAGTAATATGAAACGACACGAAACTCCTGATATACCGAAACGTCGTCTCATGACTTATGAACAGTAATGTACATTTCTCATCCGAGGATCAAGCATAGTGGCTCGTTGAAAGCCAAATCTCCGCTTCAGAATTCAGCGCGATGTAACGAAGCGTCGAGCCGAAAACAGGCTCTAAATTATACACCCGTTGGACCTGCATTGCTGATTTCCTGGGATTATCTTCGCAGTCGAATCCTGTATATCGATCGTCGCCGACAGCATCGTTGAAATATTAGTTACGCTTCGAATAAACTTCCGGTAACCCACTTACGGCCGTTCACCGCCATCGCGCCTTTATTTCCCGGGGATTTATACGCACGTCTGTCCCTGTTTCGAGCATGTCCGTGAATAACAACACCGACGATACATTGTTGCTGTCCGCGCACGCACTGTCGGGTGCCATGTACGTTTCTTTTGCATAAGGACACATATGGAAATTTTATGATGTTTAGGACACAGTTGTAGCTGCCACATTTTGAAATTTGAAAATTTTGCGTTTTCTAGTTTTGTGGCTTGGCAGATTTTTAGGTTTTTAGTTTTCTACTTTGGTAGCTTTCTAGTTTTTTACTGGTCTGATTTAATTTTTTGTTAAATTTTTAGGTTCCTAGATTCCTAGATTACTAGGTTCCTAGATTCCTAGATTATTAGGTTCCTGGGTTCCCAGATTCCTAGATTCCTAGATTCCTAGATTCCTAGATTCCCAGATTCCCAAATTGCCACATTTCCAAATTTCTAACTTGCCAAATTCCTACACACCCAAATCCCTAGCTCCTAGAATTCCTATGTCCCCAAATTCCTACACCCCCAAATCCCTAGCTCCTAGAATTCCTATGTCCCCAAATTCCTACACCCCCAAATCCCTAGCTCCTAGAATTCCTATGTCCCCAAATTCCTACACCCCCAAATCCCTAGCTCCTAGAATTCCTATGTCCCCAAATTCCTACACCCCCAAATCCCTAGCTCCTAGAATTCCTATGTCCCCAAATTCCTACATCCCCAAATCCCTAGGTCTTAGAATTGCTATGTTCCCAAATTCCTACACCCCCAAATCCCTAGCTCCTAGAATTTCTATGTTCCCAAATTCCTACACCCCCAAATCCCTAGCTCCTAGAATTTCTATGTTCCCAAATTCGTACACCCCCAAATCCCTAGCTCCTAGAATTTCTATGTCCCCAAATTCCATATTATGACACACTCGTGACGCACTCATAATGAGTTCATTAATTACCTTGCCAAATCCCTAACTCCTAGAATTCCTATATCCCCAAATTCCATATTATGACGCACTCATGACGCACACCCAATGCACTTGTGACGCACTCGTGAAGCACTTGTGATGCATATGTGACGCACTTAAGACACAGTTGTGTTGCAATTGTGACGCACTTGAGACGCGCTTGTGTTGCAATTGTGACGCACTCATAATACACTTGTGACGCACTCGTGACGCACTCATAATGCACTCGTGACACACTTATGACGCATTTGTGACGCACTTGTGACTCACTTGTGTTGCTATTGTGACGCACTCGTGACGTACTCATGACACTTGTGACGTACTTATGACACATTTGTGACGCACCTCTGCTTCAGCTGTGAATTTCACCCAAAATTTAACTACTCTTCAATTTCCTTTTGAAGTCAAATAATTTACTAAAAATTAGTTAATAACAATGGTCTAATACCAAATTGCCACAACATTTCAACTTTCTCCGTCCACTTTAATATCGCAGTGATTAATCAGTTCCGACCCGACAAATAAATCATACTACAAGGGGTTAACTCGGTATATTAACTTCCGGTAACCCACTTACCACCGTCGTACCTTTATTTCTCCGGGATTTATACGCACGTCCTGTCCCTATATCCAATGTGTCGGTGAGTAACACGCCGCAAGAGCAACGAAACGCTGTTCCACGAAATGGAAGAGTTTCAGGAGCCGCAACAGCAGTTATTGCACGAATCCCGCCATTAGATTTCACGATGCTCGTGCACGAATACATACATAGTCGTGTGCTCGTGGAAACACGAGAATCGAAAATGGACTGCAATAGCCCTAAAGCCAACCCTGCGCCTGTTACGCGTTTTTCCGAAACCCGGGCTCGGTTACTTTTCGCGGTTCCCTTCGAATTTCCGCCTTTAATCGGACGCTGCCTGCGGTTTTCGGAACTTTTCGCGGCTTCGAATTCGGAAATAGTCGGCGCCGAATATTGCCGGAATAAACTACGAAAGAAGTTTTCGAAGCTTTAAAAATACTGATGGCTATATTCGGATCAGAGGATGTATAAAAAGTAGTTTGAGTCGAAATTTTGAGGCAGTTTGCCTTGATACTGCGTAAAGTAGGGAGATGTTGATGTATGTTGATTTAGGGGCAATGTAAAATTTCTGGGGATGTGTTTTTGGAGGTAGAAATGATTTGGAACATTTTAGGATAATTTTTGGTGAATTTGCAAATTTTTAAGTTGGGGGTCGCATATGCACAAATTTATAAATTTATAAATGTGCAAATCCACAAATTATCACATCTTCAATTTGTTATTTATAGAAATTCCAAGGTTCCCAAATTCTCATATTCCCAAATTCCTAGATTTCCAATTTCTCACATCCCCAAATTCTTACATCCCCAATTTCTCACATCCCCAAATTCTTACATCCCCAATTTCTCACATCCCTAAATTCCAAGATTTCCAATTTCTCACATCCCTAAATTCCCACATCCCCAAATTCTCACATTCCCAAATTCCTAGATTTCCAAATTCTCACATCCCCAAATTCCAAGATTTCCAATTTCTCACATCCCCAAATTCCTACATCCCCAATTTCTCACATCCCCAAATTCCAAGATTTCCAATTTCTCACATCCCTAAATTCCCACATCTCCAATTTCTCACATCCCCAAATTCTCACATTCCCAAATTCTCACATTCCCAAATTCCTAAATTCCCAACTTCCCGCGTCCCTAATTTCTCGCCTCCCCAAATTCTCACCTCTCCAAATTCCCAATTTCTCACATCCCAACATTCCACCCCTCCAAATTCCTAATAAAAATCCTCGTCATCGCAAAAAGAGAACCAACATCCTACCCTCTCCCCGTATCTCCCCAAAGTAACTCTTCCAAACTCTTCTGCACATTTAATAATTCTACATTTCCTGTAAATTTCAGGTTACGAATGGGTTGGCTGGCGAAACGACACCCCGAGTATGCTCGGACGTCCCGTGGAGATCACGTTCGAGTTCGATTACTCGCGAAATTTCACTGCCATACATCTGCACATGAACAATTACTTCACAAAGGACGTCCAGGTACGTGAAATCTCCTCCCTCATAAATCAAGCTTCTGAAAGTCGTATACCAACACAGAGCACATACTTGAAAATTGTATATCGTCACTCGAGGACACGCGCATCCGGAGACTTTAAGCATAAAATATCATAGAAATATTTTCCACCGCTTCTTCTTTCGTATTTCCTTATCTGGGAACTCGGCAGCGAGCGCGGGTCGCGTAAAATGATATTCAAATAAGCTTCCTTGGGGATTATACGAATTAATATTCCCATTATATTCACTGAACAGGGAGATTGATGTTTGCTTAATCTATACAAACGGACTGTGGTATCCATGAATTCGTTATAATTCATTCAACTGCGGGATAACGAGCTGAAAAATGAGATCATTTTCCGAAAAAGATTTTTAATACAGGTTTTGTCTCGCAGAATTAATTTAATCAGTTTCTCGATTCGATCTTTGCAAAATTTTCTATTATCAAGTTTTTAAAGAGAGTCTGATTGTTAAATTATTTTGAACATTTATTTGAAAAGGAGTATCTATATAAGTAAAGGCAAAGGAGTAGATATATAAGTATTGCTAAAAGAATTTTGTGTTAATAGGACTGATGTTTAATGAACGAATTTGTTAAATAAAAAATGACTACAAATTATTGTATATGTCTATATATTAGCTCTGTGAGTGAATACTTATACTTGCTTATGTACGAATTGATTTTTCGACAACATTCATATTAACATATTTATAAGAACATATAAATATTTCTGACAATATTGACGCTCGAATGCTTTGGTTTGCTATAAAACATCAAACTTTACATCACCTTGACATAATGAATGAATTAATTGTACATCAATCGTCCAAAACTTGAGACAACAAACGTCGATGAAGTTGTAGATAGCACAAATATTATTTAAAAAATATAATAAATTGTTTAAAGTCCAACTAGTACAAAATATTTGTTCAAACATCAAAAACTCATTGACACCGATATCACGCAACCCTCATCAGGCATGAAACCCCTCAAAAATCGCAATCACATAAATAAATTAAATCACGTACATAAATCGTTTCCAACCACCTACGATAATCAATATAAAAATAAAGCACGGATGACCCATTTCGTGGCAATCTAAAAAGCGATGCAGACATCGTACGTGCGTTTCAACCCTAAATCCCGCAATCTCGTAAAAAACACATCTCGTTGTGCAGGAGAAACGAATCCACGCGGACAGACGAGGAATTAAATTCTCGTAGCGTGGAATCACCTCGAGTGGCCGATACTTATTACCCAATTTCGTGTACACACGCGAGCCACCGATACACGAGCCTGAGAGGAAAAACGCGCAACGAGAGAAAGAAAAATGTGGACGGAACGGATGAAACGTTTCCATCAGGTTCAACGATTTCCTTTACGTTTGCACGTCCTGTAATCGCTTCATCCCGGTCGCGAACACTCTCACCGACACACCTGCCACCTTTTGCCTTCCTTTGCAGGTCTTTTCTTACGCGAAAGTCTATCTCGGAGCCGGTGGCAACCAATTCAACGGCGAACCCGTGCATTTTTCCTACATACCGGATCTGGTGCTGGAACAGGCGCGTGACGTTACCATAAAGCTTCATTCGCGCGCTGGACGATTTCTGAAGCTGCAGCTGTACTTTGCGGCGAGGTGGATTATGCTCAGCGAGGTCATTTTTGAGTCAGGTGAGGAGAATTTCGGGTGCGAGATTTGGGAACGGTGGGAAATTGGGATGGTTGGAATTTTGGGAAATTTGGGATTTGGGAGATTTGAAACTTGGGAGAATTGGGACTTGGGAGAGTTGGAACTTGGGAGATTTGGAACTTGGGAGAGTTGGAACTTGAGAAAATTGGAACTTGGAAGATTTGGAACTTGGGAGATTTGGAACTTGGGAGAGTTGGAACTTGAGAAAATTGGAACTTGGAAGATTTGGAACTTGGGAGATTTGGAACTTGGGAGATTTGGAACTTGGGAGATTTGGAACTTGGGAGATTTGGAACTTGGGAGATTTGGAACTTGGGAGATTTGGAACTTGGGAGATTTGGAACTTGGGAGATTTGGAACTTGGGAGAATTGGGACTTGGGAGATTTGGAAATTGAGAGATTTGGAACTTGGGAGATTTGGAACTTGAGAGATTTGGAACTTGAGAGATTTGAAACTTGAGAGATTTGGAACTTGGGAGATCTGAAACTTGAGAGATTTGGAACTTGGGAGAGTTGGAACTTGAGAAAATTGGAACTTGGAAGATTTGGGACTTGGGAGAATTGGGACTTGGGAGAATTGGGACTTGGGAGATTTGGAAATTGAGAGATTTGGAACTTGGGAGATTTGGAACTTGGGAGATCGGGAACTTAGGAGATTTGTATCTTGGGAAACTTGAGACTTGGAAAAAATGTAAATTGGGAAATTTGACGATTTAAATACTCGATACTCCCAAACCCACAAATAAAATTGCAAGAGATAAAAGTTAAACGCCACTGGCAAAATGATCGGTAATCGACAGCTCGTTATTTCCGAGCATTCACAATTGACAGAAAGGAGGATTTCATCTGATTCTTCTCAGAATTCATTGTCCGTTCAAGGTGAATGCATTCTGACGTATCTGGGCCCTCTGATTATTCCTCATCTCCGTGGATAATTCTATCGTTCGGCAAGTGCGAAACGTTCGAGCGTGTCAGCTAAAATCGGAAATCGAATTCAGAGAGGACACCGTAAGAAAGAGAGGACTACGGAGACCCATCCGTTTCTTGATCCCAACTTCGAGATCGTTGGCTTCGAGGTATACTCGCGTTGCCAGGTCGAAGATATTCGCGGGAAGCTATTTCGTTATCGATATCACGGTGCCTGAGATCCCTTTTGTTTCCCCACAACCCCCGTATATTCTGCCAGGCCCGTTTTTCTTCCTTTTTACGCGAAACACGCGGTAGCCTCTTCGAAGGAGCTCAGAAAAGACAGCTTTTTCTTGCGAGAAAAATATCTTGCGATACTTTTCCTCGAATAATATATGTTCGAAATGAATTACGGAGAAAAGGGTGTAATATTATACAGTATTAAACTGTTTTTTGTTTAATATCCGAGGGGTGCTGGATATTACACCTTTTTTTATTTATTCTTCGTTTAACTTCGCTTGAAAATAAATTTGTATTTATTATAGGAATTTTGGAAGTTTAAGAAAGAGGTGAAGGTGTTGGTTTCTGAGAAATTTACTGTTCTTTTATATTCTATTTATTGTTTTCATATTCTCAATTTGAGAGATTAGTAAATTTTCCAATTTGCAATATCTGAAATTTTCTGAGTCCCAAATTTTCCAAGTCCCCAATTTCCCAAGTCCCAAATTTTCCAAATCTCAAGTTCCAAATCGCCCAAGTTCCAAGTTTCCCAATTCCAAATCTCCCAAGTTCCAAGTTTCCCAAGTTCCAAATCTCCCAAGTCCCAAGTTTCCCAAGTTCCAAATCTCCCAAGTTCCAAATCTCTCAAGTTCCAAATCGCCCAAGTTCCAAGTTTCCCAAGTCCAAATCTCCCAAGTCCCAAGTTTCCCAAGTTCCAAATCTCCCAGGTCCCAAGTTTCCCAAGTCCCAAACTTCCCAAGTCCCAAATTTCCTAAGTCCCAAATTTCCCAAGTACCAAATTTCCCAAGTCCCAAGTTTCCCAAGTCCCAAATTTCCTAATTCCCAAATTTCCTACTGCCCAAATCCCCAATTAAACCAAACCACACAAAAAAATTTCACATTACAAATTCTTACATACAAAACCCCTCTTCCTGTTCGCCCCACAAACACAGAGACACCCCGTACAACGCAAAAAGCATCGATACAAGGTTACAAAAGGTCTACCGGCAATATGTTCGTGTTACAAAGCACGTGGTGGCGATTCACAAGTGAATCTTACCTTGCTGGCAGGTGAAATACGCGCCCTCGAAAAGTTTCAGCTGCGAAGCTAACACGAACGTCGAAACCATCGTTAATCATTCTCCGAGAGTGCGGCGTTGGTGTTCTCTCGTTCCATGAGAGATAACTTCGATTGCTTGGCCCCTTCGAGTGGCCAGAATTCCACGTGATTCCCATGGACGTGAAGCGAATCGCTTTTCAGATTTCTATTTGATTCCTCGCTTCGTTGGGAATCCATCTCTTCTCTTCTTTTGTTGCGTTGATCGAACACGCTGCGCTACCGAAGCTTTTAAGAGCTTACTCGTCAAGGGTACATTTAACGAAGGTTAATCGATAGAACGTTGTTCTTTTCTTTTTTTTAGAACTTCTGTTTCTTGACTTTCTTGAAAGTTTCGAGGGTTTTAAGAGTGTTATTAATCATTTCTGTGATACTTTATTTCTTTATGTTTTGCATTAGTTATTTCTAATAAAATGTAGTTATTTTGTTTGATTTTATCAATGATATTTTCAATTCTGTTTCATGTTGTGAAGAAATAAATGAGGGTATAATATGTGACAAAATTAGGAAAATAATTTTCTGTTCTTTAAAATGTTTGTAGATGAAGTTTGTTAAATTTTATTAAACGTGAGAGAACAATCAATAAGTATATAGATTATGAATAATTCACATACACCCTTAACTTCTATATAATCAATCTTTTTACTAAACAAGTGTCTGACTACCTGATAATAAAATGTATTTTTATACATGTGCACAGACATTGATTTTTATATGAACACCCTTGCAAAACCTAGATAATAAAATGTACTTTTATACATGTATATAGACATTGATTTTTATATGAACACCCTTGAAAACCCTAGATAATGAAATGTACTTTTATACATGTATATAGACATTGATTTTTATATGAACACCCTTGCAAAACCTAGATAATAAAATGTACTTTTATACATGTCTATAGACATTGATTTTTATATGAACACCCTTGCAAAACCTAGATAATAAAATGTACTTTTATACATGTGTACAGATATTGATTTTTATATGAACACCCTTGAAAAACCTGTAAATGATTACTATAATATGTACATACTTTGATACACATCTGACTGATAGAATTTTACTGATTGATCTTGTATTATTGATTGATCAAATATAGCAAAGTATAAAGATTGAAAGTTGACGTTCCGTTTAAAACGTTAAAAGAAGTTCGATTCTTTTGCGAAGAGAGAATTTCATTAGTCTTCATCCGTGATTCGCAGTGATCTCGGAATGGAACAACACGGAGGATGAAGAGGCAAGGAACAAGAGCGCCATTGTATCAGCGACCGGCAGCCCCTATCAGAATAACGAGGGTCCGTTGCAGAGGGACGAAGTAAAGGCCACTTTTAATAAGGAGGAAAACAACGATAATGCCCGTAAGTCTGACCGCTTTCCATTATTGTTGCATCCGGTATTTCCCATCGTAATTTTCCGCATCATTTCCAATTCGTCTTTATTCGCTCCCTTTATTTTCCTCGTTTTTCCAGAGCCCTCACCTGTTTGCTTTTAGCGGCTACAACGAAATTCAATGCCGATCGTGAAACGCTCTTTTTTTTCCTTCGTTTCTTTTGTTGCTCTTGTTTGTGGCAAATCTTTAGCAACGTTCGCTGATCGCTGCGTGATTTTCAAAAGGACTTGATTACGTGGCCCTTTTATTCCACTCAATTTTCGAACCAACTCGATTATAATACCCGGCTACCGGCTTTTGTCGGGCATACTGTTGCCCCGGCTCTTTGGATTGTTCCGCGATAATGAAATACGTTTCTGTGAAGCATTTCAATGAATTTTGTAAGCTCGGATAATACACTGTTAATTCAATGTGACTCGGCGCTTTATGGCGACCGGCTATTAGTTTAACTGATACCGAATTTTTATTGGTATTGGAGATTTAGTGCGAATTTTTGGGAAGTTTTGAGCTTTCGGAAATTTTGGAATTTTGGAAAATTTGGAATTTTGGAAGTTTGGAAATTTGGAAGTTTGGAAGTTTGGAAATTAGGAATTTGGAAAATTTGGAATTTGGAAAATTTGGAATTTGGAAAATTTGGAATTTGGAAAATTTGGAATTTGGAAAATTTGGAATTTGGAAAATTTGGAATTTGGAAAATTTGGAATTTGGAAAATTTGGAATTTGGAAAATTTGGAATTTGGAAAATTTGGAATTTGGAAAATTTGGAATTTGGAAAATTTGGAATTTGGAAAATTTGGAATTTGGAAAATTTGGAATTTGGAAAATTTGGAATTTGGAAAATTTGGAATTTGGAAAATTTGGAATTTGGAAAATTTGGAATTTGGAAAATTTGGAATTTGGAAAATTTGGAATTTGGAAAATTTGGAATTTGGAAAATTTGGAATTTGGAAAATTTGGAATTTGGAAAATTTGGAATTTGGAAAATTTGAAATTTGGAAAATTTGGAATTTGGAAAATTTGGAACTTTGAAAATTTGGAATTTGGAAAATTTGAAATCTGGAAAATTTGGAATTTTGGAAAATTTAACCTCAAAATAATATCGTTGAAACAAACGTTCCATGAAACAATCGTTTCATCGGAATTTTCATGAAAGATATTTTCGTGCAACTTTCAACATCTTCCATAGCTTGAATTCGCTATGAAACTTCACAGGAGGAAAAACGAACACGTTTCTTGCCAACCTCTCGCGAGTCGAAGATCGTTACACGAGAAACAGAATATTGGTTTCATCGCGAGGAAGTCTGAATTGTAACGAACGTTGAATGCACGTCGTATACGAGTGAACGCAAGGGCCTTTAGTTTTTCACTTCGACAAGCTTTTGCGCGAGAAACGAGTCGGGGAATCTTCAGAACTTGCTCACGTATCGAAATTCTCTCGTTTTATTTGTTTTCCTCTTCACAGAACTTGCCCGTACTGAAATAATTAAAAATTTTCGACGGACTTTTGTGCAGTTAATATCTTTTTTATCATTAAATACATGTTTTTCAATTATGAGGAGAAAATTATTTCGAACCTTATTTATTATTAAAAATTACAATTAGAGAATTTGTATAAATTTTTATATAAAGTTACAAGCATGGAAAGTTCATACCACTTCATACCTTATTAAAATTTCAACTTTCAATACCTTCATTAAAATTCGCTAATGATGTCTTCTCAATATGACTAATTTGTACATTTCTGTTGAATACGTTAATACCTGAAGCTTCAGATAAAATTATCAAATTTCCAATGTAACATACTGTACCGAAATATTAAACTAGTTTCACTCTGTAAAGACACAAAAATTGAAATCGAACGACTGCATACAGGAATCATAGAACATCAAACGATTTCGATAGCGGTAATACGTCTATTGGTATAATCGATCCTCCAAAGATCGTACGTTTCATTAACTTTCACGTGTTGCTCCGACAGATGAGATCTGTTCGGTAACGAGCTAAGCCGATCGATACAAGTAACAAAGAGCAAAGGGTCCTTTTGCACGCCTCGATTTCTATGCGCAAACGTTTCTCTACACATGCTCAGGGACACTAACACTATACACAGCTCTATTTGCATGCTGGCCAACTAATACACTCAAAGTACATGGCCGATCAAGCTGAATATTATCGTGAAGGCAGCCTCGCATAATGCACGATGACCTGATAATGATGATTGCGTTCATCGTGCACGTCGTAATTGGATCAGCTGATCGATCGACACTTTATCGAGCGGTTGCTTTCATTCGAACGTGAAACGTCTGATATTGTTCTGCAATGCTGCTTTGTCAAATGATAGTTATCTTTATTGTTTAGGGGAAGACGGCGAAATAGATCATCATTTTCCGGCATAGTAATAGCTCTTACTGTCTTTATTTATTTGGTTTATAGTATTGATCTTAATTGAGGTTTTAAGGTTGGCAAGTTTTAAGGTTTAAACTTGTTAGTTTATAATTGGACACTAATTTTGGGAAAGCTAGGTTGAAAATAATTATGGTTAATATAATTTGGAAACTCCCTAATGTCCTAATATCTAAAAAATTTCCAAATTGGAAAATTCTACATTTTTCAAGTTTTACAAATTTTTCAGGTTTTCCAAAATTTCAAATTTCAAACTTTCCAAATTCCAAATTTCCAAATTTTCAAATTCCAAATTTCCAAGTTCCAAATTTTCAAATTCCAAATTTCCAAAGTTTCAAATTTCTAAAGTTCCAAATTTTCCAAATTCCAAATTTTCCAAATTCCAAATTTTCCAAATTCCAAATTTTCCAAATTCCAAATTTTCCAAATTCCAAATTTTCCAAATTTTCCAAATTCCAAATTTTCCAAAGTCCCGAATTTCCGAAGTTTCAAATTTCCAGATTTCCAAATTTCCAAAGTTCCAAATTCCCAAATTCCCAAATTTCCAAAATTCCAAAATTCCAAAATTCCAAAATTCCAAATTTCCAAACTTCCAAATTTCCAAATTTCCAAACTTCCAAATTTCCAAATTTCCAAAATTTCCAAATTTCCAAAATTCCAAAACTCAAACTTTAAATTCTAAAAAATTCCTCCATCCAAATCCCGAAATTTGCAATCATTACAATAGCAATAATAAAAATTAGATTTCAATACATTCGATAAAGAGCGCAATACTAAAATAATTTCATAGAAAATAATTAGGTAACGATCGATCAGTTCCAGATAAGAGCAAGGAGCCAGAATCGAAGCAATTTGTCGGGCTGGTAATCGGTATCCTAACGACGGTGATTGTAATGCTATTGGCTGCAATCATGTTCATTTTCTACCGAAATCGAAGGCTGAAGGCTGCCCTCGCACCATCCACGTTCTACGATCAACACGGTGATTTAAAGGTAAGTGTCTTCAGTTCGGTTCAATGGATTCCGTCTCGAAGCTGGATAAATTTCAGCTACGATTTTCTGCCTGATCGTTACATCCGCTATTTTATCAAATATTGGAAATCGAGTAACAAAAATCATTTCATCGTAACTCGTCCGATGTAATCGATTTAAAACACGGACGCGTTGCAGCGATTCGGCTGGATTACAATGTAAACACGCGGAAAATAAATAACGATAACGGGAGCAACGTTGAATTTTCATGGAAATCTTTTACACTCTATCTAATTGTGAAGTTTGAATTAATAATATAACTTGTCGAGCTAAACGAATTTAATACGTCCACTTAGTCACAGCCCTCATAAAAGACGATCTGTAATACGACACGGAATCGACCAATTAGATCCATGTTCGTAAAACGAAAGCATTGAATACCTCGTTACAACCAACTAACGTTTCAACTCGACACCGTCAATTTTCTAAATGATCATCGTCGGTCTTGTTCGAGTGGTCGTGATTTTTCTTCGGCTAACGACCTGAGTGTCGGTACGTTTCGTTCCTAATAACGTGAACGGTAGTTTGGTTATTTGCTCTTCGTTTTCAACTTAATTTGAACGAAAAACATTTCTAGCAATCACAGTAATCATTTTCTTATTACACCTTGAGTACTACTTATCCTACTTAACCAATATTTATTTTTTTCTTTTGCTTTTCATTTTTAAAGAAGGTGTAGGAATAGTACAACAATAGATATGTGGGGTATATGGGATGATACGGGACGTAGAGATACCGCATATGTAAATACAACACGTGTGAATTTCATGTGTGACAATGTAACATGTAGAGATACCACATATGTAGATATAACGATGTGAATATCAGGTGTGACGATATAACATGTAGAGATACCACATGTGTAGATATAACGCGTGTGAATTTCATGTGTGACAATATAACACGTAGAGATACCGCATATGTAGATATAACGCGTGTGAATATGAGACGTGACGATACGATGCGTAGAAATACGACGCATGACAGTACGACGCGTAGAGATACCACACATGTGGGTACAATGCGTGGTAATATGACATGTGATGCTACAACGTGTGCAGATACCATATGTGACGATACAACGCATGGAGATACCAAACATGACATTACAACGCATGGTAATATCACATGTGTTGATACAATATGTGGAGATACCATATGTGACAACACAACGCATGATATTACCTTGCGTGACAATAAGAAGCTTGACAGCACAATGCGTGGAGATACCACACATGAGGATACAACGCATGGTAATATCACATGTGGTGATACAACGTGTGTAGATACCACATGTGACGATACCACGCGTGACAGTACGACGTTTGACGATACAATGCATGGAGATACCAAACATGACACTACAACGCACGGTAATATCACATGTGATGATACAATATGTGGAGATACCATATGTGACGACGCAACGCATGATATTACCTCGCATGACAATAAGAAGCTTGACAACACAATGCGTGGAGATACCACACATGTGGATATAACGCATGGTAATATCACATGTGATGATACAACGTGTGCAGATACCACATGTGACGATACAGTGCATAACGATACATAGAGATACTATATGAGATATTTAGTGAAATTTGTAAAACTTGAAAATTTGCAAAATACAAATCTAAAAGTGCCACATACGACAAATTAAAAAACCTGAATCTTCCAAAACTAAAAAATTCGAAAACTTAAAAAATTGTCAAGTTCACATATGAATCATAAGGAACCCTACATTGCATAGTACTTCAAAGGCTGCCCCCGTATCATCACAAAGGTGTAACTTGCAGTCGAAAGACGAGTATTTCGGGGCTCCTGTATAAAAGGCGTTAAACAGGAAGTGCAAAGAGTCTACTGAAAAAAGGGGAACGAGACACTCGACAGGTTTGCAGTGTCGAGACGAGACAAGTAGCAGGTGGCTAATACCGGAAGTGGCATGGAACAGAGAATACGGAGACGCCTACGTGTGTACACAGACTCGTTCATGGAGCAGATAACGCACGTTTCGTGCCGACAATACGGCCATATACGAGCAGCTCTTTTAATTAAGTGGAGTCAGCTCGACTGGTTAAAATTTATTCAACGGGATTCATATTGCTTCGTGGGTTCAGTCGATACCGGTAGGGAGACTTTTAAGAGACCACTCCAATGTGTCCAATAAATTCATACTCCACTCGGAAACGCTTTTGTTTAACGATCCAAAGATCAGTCGCGTTTTCGTGCATCTTGGAACTTTTCAACTTTAACTCGAAATCAAATCGTATTACGAATTTAATTTCGGGTCTATGGGATGTGTAAACATGGAATTTTAACTTTGTGCAAGGTAGTTGGGAATTTTTCGGTATATTTGATATTTAAATGTTGTTTGTTCAATCCCCTCGCTACAGCGATGTTTAATTAAAAAATGCTGAGGTTATACTGAACGTGTGCGGGCAATAAAATTCTCTCGTTGGATGTACACGAATTATTTTTTTGCAAACTCTAGTTTATCGAGTATATTCTGCCGTGTAACCTCTGATAATTCGACAGCACGTGTTTTATATGTCTCGTCATTTTTTGGTTGTGATGGACTTTACAAGCTTCATGGTTTAACGACACGAATTTTTACTCTTAATCATGTTTTTTATATTTGATTTCTGAATTTTTTAATTTGGAATATTTTCAAATTTTGAAATTTTCAAGTTTCTTAAATTTTTCAAATTTTTCAAATTTCCCCATTTTCTGAATTTTCTCAATTTTTTCAATTTTCTCAATTTTCTCAAATATCCCCATTTCCTCAATTTTCTCAATTTTCCCAAATATCCCAAATTTCTCAAATTTAAAAATTGCCAAAATTTTAAATCCCAAAATCCCCACATTTCCAAATGTCTATATCCCCTGTATTCCTACATCCCTAGATCCATAAATTCCCACATATCCCCATATCCACACGTCCCCAAGTCCCCACATGATAAATCACAATCTTCCAACAGTAAAATAATAAACTAAAAGCTAACTAAATTAATTAAGTAAATCTGAAGAGATTAAATCCGTAAAAAATGTTGTTTCTATAATTCCATTAATTAGGAAAGAAGCAACATTTCTAACAATATGACCAACGATCCAACAAAAAAGGTTAAATTCCTCGTGGCACCGTTTCCGTTCTGTTTCGTTCCCTTTACGTGCTCACAATTTTTCCAGCCAGTTCGTTGCAGAAGCGTGTTTCAACATTGTTCGCCACACTAACGGCGGTAATTAATTTTTCCCGGGACAAAGTGGATCCGTCTTCAGGCACGCACTCTCATTACCAGCGGTCCGCGTACAGAGGATACATTCTACCTTTAACCAACGGAATAGCGACAACAAATATAAAACTTTAATAATTCCCGCTATTACCACGTAGCCCCGACAGGAATCCGCGAACAGCGTGGACATTCCACTTGGAAATGAAGTGTTAGATATGCGCAACCGTTCCTTTGAACCGTGTTGCTGCATTTTCTCTTCGAATACGTCCGTAGTGTGTAATCAAGTAATTGCACTCAAAGCTTTCAACGTGTGCCACTGCAAAGTGCAGTAGATGCAGTACAAGATACTTCATCGGTCGATTCTCAAAACTTTCGGTATCGAGCACGTGTAAATACGAGTGACATAACCTACAAAAGTATCGATGTGTACTTCAAAGTATACTCAGACAAATATTCTCAAATACTTATTACGTACAATTAATCTAATACATGAACTGCAGTGATAGGTCACTTTAATGGTGACTGATAATAAGGTCACTTTAATTATTTGTAACAAACAGAGAATTGTTTCTGCGGCCATAAGTCTGTTTTATAGTAAGTTTAGTAAATTAAGTTTTAGGAAATTTAGTTTATTAAATGTCTTTAAGCTTAATAAGTTTGCTTATATTATATTAAATTTAATGTCTGTTTCTATAGCAAGTTTAGTACCTTTACTTATTTTATATTCTACATAAAGTAAAATTCTGGAGATGAGAGTAGATGGTCTTACCAGTGCCGCCATCTTGTCTCAGACGGCGAAACAAGATGGCGGCGCTGGTAAGACAAAATGGACACGTCTGAGAGAAACAATCTCTTCTTGAATAGAATTTAGAATAATTTATAAAGAAGATGTGTTCACAACTTTTACATATGAAGTTTGGAAAAAATGATAATTTAAAAACAGTTTTTAATTTCATAAAATCAAACTTGCCTGACAAAAATTTCGTCTTGCATTTATTTTAATAATTCATTTAAAAGAATCTAAGTTTGATGCGTTCATACATGAAGTTTGTAAAAAATGATAATTTAAAAACAGTTTTTAATTTCATAAAATCAAACTTGCCTGACAAAAATTTCGTCTTGCATTTATTTTAATAATTCATTTAAAAGAATCTAAGTTTGATGCGTTCATACATGAAGTTTGTAAAAAATGATAATTTAAAAACAGTTTTTAATTTCATAAAATCAAACTTGCCTGACAAAAATTTCGTCTTGCATTTATTTTAATAATTCATTTAAAAGAATCTAAGTTTGATGCGTTCATACATGAAGTTTGTAAAAAATGATAATTTAAAAACAGTTTTTAATTTCATAAAATCAAACTTGCCTGACAAAAATTTCGTCTTGCATTTATTTTAATAATTCATTTAAAAGAATCTAAGTTTGATGCGTTCATACATGAAGTTTGTAAAAAATGATAATTTAAAAACAGTTTTTAATTTCATAAAATCAAACTTGCCTGACAAAAATTTCGTCTTGCATTTATTTTAATAATTCATTTAAAAGAATCTAAGTTTGATGCGTTCATACATGAAGTTTGTAAAAAATGATAATTTAAAAACAGTTTTTAATTTCATAAAATCAAACTTGTTTAACAAAAATTTCGTCTGAATTTACTTTAGTGATTCTTTTAAAAAATTTAAGTTTAAAAACTATGCTACATGACATCATTTTATACATACACTA